CCACCCTTAGCAGCCATTGATTTCCCGTGTTCATTTTTCTCGACAGCTTGATAAATTCCATTGTGTCAGCTATTTAGACTAGCTCCGGAAGTTTTGTAAACAAATCACTCAAAGGGGCTTTGTAATTACCCAAGTGTGTTGTTTCTTAGGGGTGTAATCTTCCACAGCTTATGTGAAGAGGTGTGTAAATGGCCGTACATCAATACAATTTCTAGCAATGCTTTTTCATATCCTTTTGATAAATAGGGTACATCTTGCTCACCTTAAAACCAGATTTTCTATAGTTCATCCTAGACTTTGGACTACTTAATCCCCTGAATTGTTTGCTGCTTAGTTCTGAGGACAAATAAAAGTTCCTGCCATCTAAACTCTCCCTGGAAGTATAGGTAACACATCCTTCCACATCTCTCCAAATCACATTATCTGTGGTATGAAGTTTCTCTCAATAGACTGAAACCAAAGTAGCCATGTTTCTGCCTGCCTGGCCTACTAACCATCCGGCTTGGTTTGTTAGCTTTTTGGTTTCCCACACGTAAAACCTGTTATCTCAAAACAGAGCATGCAAGAGGCACTCCAGTCCCTGTGTGTGCCTGTAGATTTTTTTTTAACTTAATCTTATACCTGATAACACAAAGTATGTTAGCATTTAGGCTGACCAAAGGCAGAGTTTCCTCTTGCAGGTCGCTGTGTTTTGCTGCTGTGGAAATTTCCAGAAAGAACTAGATAACAGAAAGGAAAAGCTGTGTGCGGTTGTGGAGTCTGTACTGCTCCAGCAGCAAGAACCTGAGGGCTGAAAGCACCTGTGCCACGGTGGGGAGGATATGTCAGCGCAGCGCTCCATCCGCGCCTGACGCGTCATGTACAGAGGGACAGTGGTGGAAGTGCCTGCAGGCACATCGGTTTCCTTTCCCTTTCTCCTTTCTCTCCTCCTCCTACAGCCTTAATCATGGCAATCATGGCAGTTTGGGGGACAAGGTGATTAGTAAAAAAGAAGAAAGTCTGAAAAGAAGGATTCAAAATCTCAGCATCATTTTCCGCAGCTAAAGGCCCCTCTGCATTAGTTCTGTTCCCTTTAAAGTCTGGAATGCTTGTGTCGGTTGGTTTTGGGGGGTGTGGGTTTTTTTCCTGTGTCCTAAGCAACTTCACATTCCCAAAAATTAGAAACACATTTAAGTTTTGGAAAACAATTGTTTGGCAGTTGTTTTTACGAGAAAAACATACTGCAAACACAACTCCAGATCTACAAAGACCTTTCAGGTTGGATTGTACTGAGTAATGCAGGACCAGCGTAAATATTTGAGCAAACTGGCACATCAGCCAAGCCCAGCACAGAAAACCAGGGTCTTAGATGCAGTTTACATGTAAATGTGATAGTAGGCTCACACTGATTAGTCTCTCAACCAGGGTAATCTGGGAATAAATCCACGGGGGTTTCATGTTTTGAAAGAGTCCAAGATGACTGATTTTTTCAGATACAGAACCATAACTGATTCAAAAAGGGTTGCATGGATGTAGGCAGGTAGTAGCAGAAGCTTAATACTTGTGCATGAAAGCAAGAATAAGTAAAACTGCTGAAGTGACTGCTGAGTCCACTAAGATAAAGCCACATCAAAGAGTTATTCACTCCTTCCAATAACGTTGAGGGGTGACGGATGACAATTAAGTGTTCTGTCATTACAAATTGCTTCAAAAAGAATTTAGAGATGGCATAGTCTGATAGCCCAAAGAGATACTAGCTTTTCATTTAATCCAGGTAACACACTAGATTAACTGAATCACTAAATCCATTAATGACATAGATTATTTTTCAAATCATAAAAAATCATAGCTGTAGACTGTAGACTGTGTTGGTTTTCCCCTGTAAATTACTTGCATTTGATCAACATGAAGAAGGACAAAGTCTTTTCCAGAAGTGAATATTGACTCAGCATGGCTCTAAACTTCGTACGCTCTCTCCGAAGCAGCTGAGGAGCACTTTCCAGCAGTGCTGAGAACACAGCCACTAAGCAAAAACCTGTCTCTTTGCAGTGTTGTATACTGTTATCTCAAAATTGCCAAATCGGGTATCATTCGAAAGGCTTAGCCTAAATTTCAAGAGAAGTATAGTGCTAAATTGCCAGTGAGAATTTGGGTGTAAGATCAGACAAAGAGTTCAATATTTACCCCTGTGCCTAAGAACTAAGATACAGTTACAAAGAGAAATGCATAAAATCTTACTTCTTTGACCTTTATTAAATTAGGATTTTAAACGATGTAAAGTAGACAATAGCAGCATCAAACATATCATTTTATAGTTTCAAGGGTCTGTGCAAACATCCTCTATTTACTCACAAATGACAACAGATTAGCTTCCAGCAGATTAGATAGGAAGTCTGTGTGGCACATCATGTCACATTATAATGAGGAAGGAAGCTGGGAGAATTTTGGAACAGAAGAGAGAAAGTTGGTTTTGGTTTTCTGACATAAACCCTTACAATAGAGAGTCATGCTGTCCCATTTGTCCGGTAAAGACTTGTGGTAAAGACCATGGGGAAATGCAAATATAGGAAGTAACATCTGTAAATCCTGTTTTAAAATCTCAGCACCATCAACACACAGAACTCGCTCTGCTCTCACGCTCAGTGGTACAGTATATGCTGAACTTTCAATGAAAACAGGAAAAAACCAACTCTTATTTGCTTTATCGTCAGTATATGTTTTTGTCTATATTTTGCTTTTCATTGAATTGCAAAAGCCTGAAGTTACATGTTTGTCTGCTCATGAGTTTTTCTCATACATACACCTAAAGTTATATTATAGTATACTGTCACGCAAAGTGCTTCAAAATACACGTAATACACAAATGGTTTCAATCCCTCACAGTTTAGAGCCAAAGTTACCTTCAAAGCATTGGAGAAATAGGGACAAGGTATGCTAGGATTATGTCATGATGACGAAGTACAGATATTTCTAGCATGGAATTCAAATAAGCTATTCCAGACATATACTAGTCAAATTTTCATTTGACAACTTTTTTTTCTCCCTTTTTTTTTTTTTTTTTTTAGTATTCCAAGTTCATGCAATAATGAGCCTTTAAACCGAGATTCCAGGTCTAACTGGCAAGATATAACCTGGGGGAAATGACATATTTGAGAAAACACATTCCCTTGATGTGTGACTGAAGTCATGCAAACATTGAGAATGTGAGGGAGAGAGGAGTGGGCAGGATGATCATGCAGTGCATTGCCTGCTTCCACTGTCACTTTGATCATCTTCACCGCTGCTACGCTACGCTGTCGATGCCAAATGAGGCTATCTCACTTGACTTGACAAGAGCAAGCATAGTTTTGCCTGCAGCTGACTAGGACTCTTTCTCCAGTAGTGAAGTATTTGTTAATATCAACTCTTAAGCTTCATGCAAAAAAGCGGAATAATCCCCGTGGGTTCAGCTACAACCTTTCTTGTGGGATTTGCTCATAGGTTTCCTATAGCAACATATCCAAGTACCAGTTAGCCTTAACCTTGCTTACTTGGAGAGACAATAGTACATGAAACAGACTGTTACAGTGTATAGTTACAACAAATAGTTATAGTATAAGCTGTAACTCATTGAAACCACAGAGCACCCCCGTCAGATGCTCAGTATTTGCCAAGCTGAATTAAGCGGGCTATCTAGATCTGAGAGGGTAACTTTGGGATACCTCAAAATGGCTAAACAGCTGCAAGAAATCAGAGACTGTATTTTGTCTCCTGCATTTGGCAGGAAAAAAGAATACTTCCTTCTCTTTGTAGCACACCCCAAAATACTTAAGATTATAATAATCATAAAAATTGGGAATTCTTTCGTTCAGCTGAATAGATGCATGGCAAAATTTCCAGTTTTGCGTTCTTTTAAGCCTCAGTTTTTGCTCTCAGGACGTGTCATGTTCTTACCACTGAAAAGAAGGGTTGCTCTTCTATGATATCCAGAGAACAGAGGGAGTAGTTAAGTATTAAGATTGCAGCCTTTCGTACTGTTTATGAAGATGTTTATGAAAATTATTTCCTGTTATCAAAAAGATGCAGTGTCCAAAAGTGCTGTTCCCTTTATAAGTTCACATTGTTGGAAATACTAAGGGTTCTCTCTTCTCCTGGACAAACAGCCTCTGTAAGGTCATACAACGCTCTAGACATAACATAATGACAAAGACATTTTTCGATGATGATGCGTAAGTGTTCATTACACACTCTCTACATTATTTGCACTTTCTCTGTTCCCATCACTATCCTGAGAAGTTTATTAGTAATACAGGAGAGAAGATTACAAGCGTTAAAATGTTATGTAGTGGATATAAGAAGTCCATATGGATCTTTGCTGAATGAGACATGGAAGACCTGCTTATCTCTTCATGCTTTTTTTTTTTTCAGTGTGACTTCTGTGAGTCTACATGGCAATGTTTTATATATAACTGTTCTTCTAGTAGCCGTTTTGTTCTATGGCTTAGGATCCTGAAAGATTAGATTCTATTGCTCTGAAATCTGCTTGAAAGAATCATCTATTTTGTAGATACCCTCTTTATATTCCTTGCCAGTTTTTTGCATGCAAGTAACAATTAATTGATGTGGTTGTGAAGGACCAATGCTCCCTTTTATTAAGGGGCTTCTTAATGTTCTGCTCTCACACCATAAATTTAGTGAAAATTGTTCAAGCTTTTCACAAATGTAATAAGAAAATTTCACCATGGCTTTTTAAACTGCATTCTGCAATATTCTGTTCCTACAAAATTGAAAATGATTTTAAAATAACACATGATTCTGGAGAAAAAGTAAATGGTTCACTTTTGAAATAACATGACAATATTTTAATAAGAAAAGTCTGAAACTCTGAAACTCAAATAAATGACACCTATGCAAAAGGAATCATACCTGTTCCTAATATGAACAGAGGAATGAATGAAATCAAACAGAATATAATTTAGAAAGAATGGCCATTTTTATTTTCTATTAAAACCAGACAATTTTCTATTAAAAGAAGGTTTAAAATATAAATACCAAAATTATTGCACAGTTAGCCAACTAGCTTTTTTTGGCAGCAATATTTTACAGCATCATTGCGTAATAATATGCTCTGGCAGATTAAACTCCACAAAATCCGTGATGTGTACCTTTTCTGTTTACATCATAAATCATCCTACAACAGTAAGATAATTGTTCTGGCGTATGTATAAAACATCATACAGTAATACAATATATGCTTTATGAAAGCTGGAAAGAAGGAAAGGAGAGAATATCTCTTAATGCTTCCCTTACACATTTGACTCAAATTTTAAGAAACAGATACTTATCCTCCCATTTGCAGTCATTTAACACAGGCAGTTAGAAGTATACATACAAATACACATATATTAAGAGGATTTGTTATAAATAGCTATTGCTTTTATCGGCAGCTTCAAATATACAATCTTCTGTATGTCTTTGAAAAATTAATGTCCCAGTTTAGTCTATAAAAAAGTAAGAGTTCATTGACAGGTAAATATCCTTAATTAGAATGCGACTCTGTGAATGTCCCAAAGAGTTTGTCCCAGTGGGTGAAGTAAGGAGCATAGTTTGATTTGAATTTCAGATGATGGAGATCATGATGTGGTGCTCCTCCGTACAAACCAAAAGGCACAAGTCGGTGAGTTGACCACGGAAGGTCATATCCTGAATGGTCCTCCACCGACAACCAAATGTTTACAAGGAAGAAAATCATTTCTGTCAAAGGATGGCATCCGAGGAGCACTGGGTTGATAGCAGCAAAAAATCCCAGTGAGAGCAGTTCCCATACACTGGAATACTGTGTAGTAAGAGCAAACGTTGACACATGCTTGTGATGCACCTTGTGGAAGGTCTTATAGAGCCAAGGCACCTTGTGATGAAGCAAATGCCACAGGAAGTACTCAAAATCAAACAGAAGCAGGCAAACTCCTACTTCCAGCAGGACCTCAGGCAGCTCTGGAGCTATCACTGGTAGATTCATTGGTCTCCAGTACCAGTGGAGAAGCGTCACTGGGAAGATCAAAACAACATGGTGATACGCAGTTTGAATAATGCAAGGCAGCATCATTCCAAGAGTTGGATAGTTCTGCGGCTGGATTTTGTATTTTCTCAAGTTTGGTAGTCTAGTGCTTAAAAAGTCCAGTGCAATATATGGAAGACAGAAAGCCATGTATGCTGTAAAAGAAAACAGCACTGGAAAAAACGGTGACTTGATCAATGGCTCCTTTGCTGTGATAGAGTCCCAAAGAGACTGAAGGCACAACCTGTCCCGCTGCCCATCCATCGCGTAGCTGAGCAGCACTCTCTCTGGCAGGCTGCAGTTCATGCTGATTGCTGTCTGAGAGGTCTGTAAATCCTGCAAGCCTTTATCTAGCCTGCTCAAGGGAAAACTCCGCCCATCAGAAATCCTCCTTACTTAGTAATACGTAGCTTTAAAGAGGAAGTTCCCTTTCCTGTTACACAGAAGTGGTATAATGTGTTACAATCTCAGAACAGAATTAGCTGGCCAGGGTAATCACTGGAGCTCTACAAGAGACTTGCACAATAGGAAAAATAAGGAGAAATGCAGAACTCTAACACTGGAATTCAGAGAAAGAGGGTAGGAACATTTTCCACTCAGTGCACACACTTGAAAAACTGCTGTCTCTTACTAATTTTAAATTGTGTCATCCTTTGTTATCCTTTTGCCTTTATAGGTAAGGAAATACAACCTACCATTGATTTTTTTATGTGACTGCTACCAAGGATGTACATGTACCTAAACCCCAGGTCTGACCTGTCGATGTTTGGTGGGTAATGGATGTGTGCAAACAGACATTTTCTTAATGATCCCTTGGTTATACAACAGGGTAAGTCAAAACCTTAGGGAGGCTTACACTATGCTTCCAGTCTGAATGTGCTGGCTGTCACTTGTCTCCATCTACTTTTGAGGTCGTGTTCTCCTTTATGTTCCTGTATCTACCTGACATGGCAAAATCCACCTGACTTGATTAGATGCAAAATTGAGCCAACAACTTTTGAAGAACAAAACATCCCCCAGTTGCTGGGAAGAATACAAGGTAAAATCTCATTATGCTTCCAAACAGATAGTTGGCGACAAGTATTGTTGCATTATTACAATATTCACCCCACATCTCAACAGCTCTTTGAGCAATACGATATGGAATTCATCCTTTACCCAAGTATCAAACTAACCTATGCAATTAAAAGATCCACTGCTTAGATCTATGTCCTTTAAAGGATCTTCCTTCGACCGTAGGCAAGCACACAGCAGACGGAAGGTAGCAGGCTTGACTCCCAACATTGCTAATTTGCTAAAAGTATTTTAGGGGTAAACGATGGAGGATTTGATTTAACCACTAAGACATCACTTCTTTTGTGCTTTTAGAAAAAGACAAACAAAGCTTTGAACATTTAGGGAAACAGAGCTTGCCATCAGCTTCCTATGAACTCACCTCTTTTGTAGGTACAGCATTTATTCTAATATTGGAAATGAGCTCAACTTCCTGGATGACTTTATTAGCTTGTTCAGACGATTTTAGTTCTTTGCTATTCAGAAAAGAAACCTGATGGGGGGAAATGGGAGACAGAATTTCCGTGCTTCTCAGTAATTAAGAATGATTAATTAGCAGTGACCTTTTCTGAACTATGTATGGACTTCTAATACTTAAGTTTGCTTTCAGTCTCAACTGTTTTCTCTTCAAGAGATTCTGCTCTTAAGGAAGTGCAGATTTTGCTCTCTCCTTAGACTTCAAGTTTACTGAAACAGTAAGGTTATCTATGCTATTATTCAAGCAATCAGAAGTTCTTTGTTGGAGACAGGTATTGTACTGCCTTCAAAGACTCTACCTGTTGTACATACATTTTAGAAATAGATTCAGATTCTCTGCTGTTGTGATGCTGTTCTGTTGAACTCAGTTCAGACTGTTGAACGTAGTGAAAGTAAAATCCAGTGAGAGACGCTAATTTAATGGATGAGGATCTATATCCAAGAGCTTCATTTCAATCTTCTGATTGTATTTTATCCTGACCTCCATTTCACAATAAGGACACGAAAAATGCATTTGTAACTCAATCACTGTCTGGGTCTGAAAACATTCTTGTGAGAGATGCTTTCTGCTGATTTATGTAGTTACAATCAGAAATTAAGCCTCCCAGATGGGATACGTGATTCTCTAATTTATTAGATTTATGCAGGGACTAAATTTATTCTATAATGTATTCCAAATCTGCCTAAAGGGAGATTGACAGAAATTTCTCAGCTGCCCTAAAGACACTCCGACTAATCCCTAACAGCCATGTGAAGTCTCAAGAAGTTTTAGAACCACTGCTGCCTATAAGCTAAAATGTAAAGAATAGGCATTTTGCCTGCAGATTAGGTCATAGAAAAATATTCTTGGGGCTCTTACGGAAAAACAACGGAATTCTGCAGTCTTATTACTAATACATCCTGCAACGTAAAGCCCAAGCAAGGCGCAAGGCGAGCAGAACTTAGCTGGGCGCCTGGCGCAGCCCCGAGGCGGGCTCCGCACCCCATCTGCTGGTGCACCGGGGGATGGGCTCTGCTGGCCAGGCTGGCCCCGGCCGGGCACCGGGTCAGGCTCAGCGAGGCAGTATGCTCAGAAAAATGAATCCTCGTGCATCAGAGAGGACAAACCCTTATTATTGAAACTGAGTTCAAGCGGTTTGGCTTAGCCACCAAAAAGCGCTTATCACATATTTCCTCTCCGTTAACTTAGGTTTCCTTGTCAGCACAAGGTACAATGTGAAGAAAAGACAAAGTACACACAAATCCTTTCTGTACTTAATTCAGCCATACGACCCCAGCTTTTTTCACTCAACTTACGATGCTGCCAAACTTTCCCATGTGTTACAAGACGCTAAATGGGTCTCTCAAAAAATCAAGACTCCTGCTACAGAGTTTAGGTTGAAGGGCACATAGTTTGGAATGAGGCCCCGCAAAGGGTCTTAAATAGATTCCACATGAGCACAAGACGCAAGCACCTACCCCAGGCTGCACTGTTAGGTACAAGCTACAAGGTAAACAGCGAAACACTAAGTGGGTAGGAAAATGAGGAAAAGTTAGCAGGAGGGAAAAACCAGGATCAACATACTGAAACGAATGTCACAGCAGCAGAGGCAAAATTTCTTTTTCCCTCCTCCTCTCCTCCCCCTCTGTATGGTAGGATTGTTGTTGTACCAGAGATAAGGCAACATCCCAGTGCATGCTGAGCCTCCTGCCAGAAAAAGGGTGCTGGGGAAGAGGGTTGGTAACTTGTTCAGGACAGTAGCAGGGAAGCAGGGTAGTAACCAGCGGAAAGGAAGGCAGAGGCAGTCCCTTCTCTCACTTTTAAAGGAATTGTTACCATGCTGGAAAAATACAATAAATCTGAGGTCCTCGCATCCTAACTCACCTTACTCGGAGAGCCGGAGCGGAAGGAGACGCGCGGCTCGGCAGCGCTCGCGGCCGCTCTGCCGGGTGCGGGTCCGAGCGAGCTCTTCGCGCCC